CTGTGGGATTTAAGGTAAGGTTTGCGTCTCCCTCCAACTTTTATTTTTTTTAATATGCACACATGCCATATATCAATTTATTCAGGGAGATTAGCTTCATCATTTAATATGATTTTCAAAGATATTGCCCGTCCCATTTTTTTAGTAAAAGACGCCAAATTTAACCTATTCATATTTCACCTGAATATTATTTTCATTGAAAAAATTGATTTATTTTATTAATTATCAAACTTTTATAATTAAAATGACCTGAATTAGTATAATTCATGCTTCTCTATTTAAACTATTAATTTTCCGTTATCAAAAATGTGAAAATTTGGGTAAAAAAGAGGATTTTTCAATTTTCCTTGATAAAGTGAAACCGTTGCCATGGCAACAAAAATATAAAAATCAACGTTTTACATATCTACCGATTCCGTCAAAATCCATGAAGTTATGAATTTGATCATTTTAAATAATTTGAACCAAAAAAATATGTATGTCCCCAATATTATTTCCATGGAAACAGGGGCTATATTATGGGTTCGGAACACAAAAATCAGGCTTTTTCTACACTTATAAAGACAACATTGATATCACCTTGTCATGGTGAATGTTAAAGACTAAATGTATTTTTGATATTGTTTTTAAGCAAAACTTGGCCAAAAATATTCAAAATAAAACTCCTCCTGTGCTACAAGATGGTCTAAAAATTTATTCCATGGAAGAAATCTAGTATTTATGGCAATATTTACATCTGAATATTCTGATGAAATTGTCCATGAATTATACTGCAACACTTTAGAAGTACATGTATATGTTTATAAACATACTTCAGAACATGTTGCAACTAACCCAATTAAAAGCCTCTGAATTTGATCTTATGCTGATTTAGTTATTCCAACATGTAGTAATTTCTAGACATCTTCGTAGCAAAATATCTCTATTCAGTTATGTCTCGTGACTATCATTATACATGTATGCCATCTTTTGAGTGAAATGTTGTAAGCATTGCATCCACGAAGCTGCTGTTTTTACAATTAAATTATTTCTTTACTTGGAAGAGTAGAAATGCTATCTTGAAAGTAATGTTTGTTTGCCCTCTCTTCACTCAGGGTAAAATTATTGGGTTGGTAGGTGCAAAATCTTAGACAACATTTCTTTAGGGGAATGAGGAATAAAAAGAACAAGAGGCCCATGGGCCACATCGCTCACCTGAGTAACTTGGGTCATGCAGATCTTTTTAAAAGATTTGTTCTATATATTTCAATGTAAAACTTGAATATCCTATTGTGGACCCGCCCTACACCAGGGGGTCATGATCTTAAAATTTAATATGCACACTACTCAAGGATGCTTCCACATAAGTTTCAGCTTTCCTGTCCCAGTGGTTCTTGAGAAGAAGATTTTAAAAGATTTGTTCAATAAATCTCTATGTAAAACTTGATTGCCTCTTGTGGCCCCGCCCTACCCCCGGGGGTCATGATTTTAACAATTTAAGGGATCTTCTACACTACCCAAGGATGCTCCCACATAAGTTTCAGCATTCCTGGCCCAGTGGTTCTTAAAGAAGAAGATTTTTAAAGATTTATTCTATCTATTAGGTTAAAATTGGATTTCCTATTGTGGCCCCGCCCTACCCCCGGGGTTCTTGATTTTAACAATTTAATATCTACACTACCCCAGGATGCTTCCATATAAGTTTCAGCTTTTGTGGCCCAGTGTTTTTTGAGAAGAAGATTTTAAAAGATTTGTTCTATATATTTCTATGTAAAATTTGGATTTCCTATTGTGGCCCCGCCCTACCCCAGGGGGTCATGATTTTAACAATTTAATATCTACACTACCCAAGGATGCTTCCACATAAGTTTCAGCTTTTCTGGCCTAGTGGTTCTTGAGAAGAAGATTTTTAAAGATTTGTTCTATATATTTCTATGTAAAACTTGGATTCCCTATTGTGGCCCCGCCCTACCCCCGGGGGTCATGATTTTAACAACTTTAATATCTACACTCCCCAGATGCTTCAAATAAATTTCAGCTTTTCTGGCCCAGTGGTTCTTGAGAAGAAGATTTTTTAATGACCCCACCCTATTTTCGTATTTTCTTGATTATCTCCCCTTGGAAGGGGTCTTGGTCCTTGATTTTAACAATTTAAATTCCCCTTTAAACGGACACCAGGTGATCAGAAAAGCTCACTTGAGCTTTCAGCTCAGGTGAGCTAAAAAATACGGCCCTGCATTAAAAAAAAATTTCAGTCTGGTCATTTTAGTCAGTCGGTCTGGAGAGGCCGACAACCAAGACATTTTTAAAGATGGCCTATTTCTACACTTCATGGACATTAGCTCAATCATTGGATTTAATAATAGGTAGTCTGAGAATCTAAATTGAAATATCAGACAGAACAAAATAAAGATGAATTCTAAGTGACATCAATTCATACTATAATGAGTTTACAGAGTACTTCTGATTTCAGAGAAAAGGCAAATTCTGCAAAATGGCATAACACTGTCATAAATATTTGTCAAGAACAGGGAAAAAGAAACAATGTTACAGTGATAGATATATCTCCTTGATATCCATGAAATAATAATTTAAATATAACAATTTTTTCTCCTTTTTAAAATCAAAATACAGAAAAAAATTAAAAGATTATAAATGTAAACAATTTTAAAATAAACTACATGTATTTGTGAAAGATTTTAATTTTAGTTGATTACTAAACTGGTCTTATCATTCCTACTAAATTAACTACCTTTCAATTTCCAAGTGTCATATTTTAAACTGTTAAATGTTCACTGCAGCTTTATTTACAAAACTCATCAGTTTTCAGAAATACTTATTTGAGCATATTAGGTCCTGGTAAGAGAAGAACAAAATTTAATGAATAAAAATATTAAATTTAATTGTTCGTGTATTAATTTCCTTGCAATTTTACAAAATAACCCTTTTAAGAAACTTGTTACTTGTAAGTGTAGACAAAAGCAACCTTCAATTAATACCTTAATGTATACATTTATTTTACTGAAAACAAATTCAAAGATGGACAAACAGAGCATGCACTGCAATCATCACATACACATACATGTATTTTCTAAATATATTGAAAACAGCATGTATATACTACCAGGTAGATAGGATGCTGTTAAACATTAAATTTTTTTCTATAATCTATAGACATATAAAAAATATGCATTGGGTACAACAAATCATCATTTCTTTTCCAAATCTCCATTGACTTTGCCATGTCTGGTTCAACATCTTAGCTTGATCCATCCAACTTTCTTTAATATTCTTGAGCTGATATGGGATGACCTCTACTTTGATTGATGGCACAAATCTTTTAAGGAAACACTGAAGTACTTTTTTTTGGTTCTTATCTATTTCAATTAATGACCCAATTGATCTGAAATCATATGTGTTCATTTTTACAATAACATTTAAGGAATTGCATTTTTGGAATTGCATAAGGAATTGGACTGAATTTCATTCACTCAATGAAATGAAATTTCCAATATAATCAATGAAGAATCAATATGAAATTATTGTACAATTTATAAATGTAGATTGAATTAGTGAAATGCAAATGCTTGATCAAGAAAATTAATGTTCTTGTCATGCACAATTTGTATTAATTAAAAAATGAGATATTAATTAAAATCAAACCTCATTTAAAAAAGGTAACTTGAACAATTGAATACCTGTTCCAATAATGTTACAAATATTAGGCCTAAAAAGCAAGGATTTAAATTTATTTTTCATAATTTCTTGAATGAATGCATTTTTATTTTTTGGCAATGTTGGGATATTAGTAACATCCTGACATCCTTGTACCGTTTATTCGTCGTTTTTAAATCTGTAGTCAGAAGATCATTCATAACTTTCAGTAAAATGAATAGTTAAATAATTACCTGATGAAAATACTATCAACAATCAAACTGTCAACATCATCATTGGACATGGTCAAATGCACCGTGACTTTTCTTCCCTGTTCGGACTGCATAAAGCATAATACTTTACAGGATACTCTCAGGTCTTTTCTTTTTTCCTTCCCATTCTCACTTAAAATTTTAGTGTAGTGGTGAAGTGAGCAACACACAACAGCACAATGCGTCGATAACTTTCTTCTGATCGGAATGGCCTACAACTTGCCACATTCCGTATCGAAAATAAACAAGTCCTCCTTTATTGGTTCATCCACATGCATCACGCTAATCTCAAAGGCTTTTAAGATTCCTATGCTTTAATTTGTTATAAGACTTTCTCCTGAAAACGTCCTTTGTTTTTAGTCCTAACAATAAGTGACAACAAACATCAAGTATGACAGAGGAAATTCGTTACCGAGATGCTTAGCATCGCTGGTTTAAAGTCGCCTGTTTCAAACGCTTTGGTGATTCGCAAGAGTTATCTCCCTGTTAACGCAAACCTTACCTTAAGTCATACGTTTTAAGAACTAAGACTTAGCGGAAAACATACAAATTCCTGTATGGACTACCATTTTATTCCAAAAGAGGGGGAGGGGTTATATCTAAAATGTTGAAAATAAATGTCCCAAAGATAATAAAAAATTTTTGATCTGCCCCAGACGAGTGTTCTCCCTCCTATAATTTTTTTTAGCTTGTCAGACAATTTTCAGTAAGGATGAAAATAAATAATCTGTCCTTCATCTTATTGGAAATAAATATTAGTAGACCTGTCCTTCATTGACATGAACATGAAAAGAAATGAAAAAAATAATGACTTGGGAAAACTTGCCAACCCCCATCCCCTCTTCCTTTCAGAATTAAATAGTGCTCCTCTTTCTTGTTTTGAATTAATAAGGGGAGCCTTTAATCTCCTTTTTAGCTACTTTTATCAAGAAAAACAAATTAACACAATGAACATGCTAGAAAAAAATCTTGCTGGACATTGACAGCCTGGCACCACACAAATATATGCAAGTGAAGATTATCAAATCTTAATAGTCTTTTCAACACCTGTTCAGTTAAGTACATGTATATGAAAAACTTAAAAGTGAAATCATTTTCATGAAGAAATTTTATTTCATAAACAGCTTTTCAAATTAAGATAGACTGTACAAGGAATGCTGGGCAGCTGCAAATTTTTTCCATCACTTCATGTTCTTGTGGATGAAATCAATTCTGAAAATACATGTATGAGAAATTCAGGACATATATGTAGTAATTATAAACCATTATTGAGAGTAAACTGGTGGTTAAAATTGAATTGAATTCAGATCAATGCATCGAAAAATGCATTGTATGCATAATTAAATGTTTGCAATTCTACTGTTATATTTTATTGTTTGCCAGGAATATTGCATGGTAAATTGGTTTATAGCTAATATGGAGAATACCATTTTCCTTACATGATGGATTAACTTGCTGCCTGATCATGAATGATTCCATTGGTCGTATTCTTTAGAAATAGCTGCAACACATTATATGTGCTATTGCTAGGAGATTACTAAATAAAATACAATTGTCATTGTAAAATAAAATGAATTTACAGTTGACAAAACAATTCATGATATATTGTATAATGTAGTGAATTTATCAAATTCATATAAAAGTTAAATGGAAACAGTTGTATTACAAAACTTTTCTGGGAAATTAAAACCTCTGACATTAACGAGAACAAATGATTAGAATATGAAAAAACATTCTTTTATCTTTACCAAAATGAAAAATAAATATGGGCCTAATCATGCACGCATGCATGGTTTAAAAAAATCTGAAATGCTTTATAAGGGTACATACCCTGTGGAGAAATGGATGCATTTTGTATTTATTTATACTTCAAGCCTGGATCTCTTGACTGCTACAATAATAAAAATATTATATGATTAAAAAAATAATTATGTATAAATTACAGAAATTAATTGACTTAAAAATTGACATGAAATCAAACTAAAAAAAAATAAATATTTTATTCCCCATTAATTAAGAAATTCTAAAAATTTAAAACCATAGATCTAAAGTGGAGGTTCTTTGTTTTCATCATAATGATACAAATGATATTTTCTTTACATTATGTAACATGTATGCCAAAAAGACAACAACATTACATGTTCAGTAAATCATTGTCAACACATTGATTGCAGCAATGATATTTCACATGTTGTCTCAAAGAAAATAAGCCAGTACAATTAGATTTTTAAATTTCTAGTAAAACAAAGTGATCAACTTTATGTGGGCTGTTTGAAGAGGGGGGGGGGGACACACTACACTGCATTAGTTTTTCATTGACTGTGATAATACATCTAAATAAACACATACACACTCGCAATCGTTTTTCTTCGATTTTAACAAAAGCATTTCTACATAATGCACATACATGACTGTGCATACATACCTGGGCTGAATGCACTGCAGTGATGGATCTAGGGAGCTGGCGGATATCGTCTCACTCTTCCATTATTTTCTGTAATAATGTCCTCATATTCTCGTAATAGGGATAAGCAATGCCTTGTCTCTTATCTTATCCCTATTTTCTTTAAAGAATGTCTGATTATTGCAATTAAATCCACTGCATATCTCAGCTGATGTCGTCACGTTTTTAGATGTAAACAACATTCCGTGTCATCGAGTGCAAGCGCTTGGCTGAAGCTGAATGCAGCCAAACGGCACATTAGAAAGAGAATTATTTTAAAAACATGCCATTCTATAGAGGAGAAAATCACTAATATTTATTAATTTAAACATGGAAATATTGCCGTTTGTTAAAAGTTCTTGCAAACATCGGTAAATAGTTATTTTGAGCTCTATTTCCTTATAAGGATCAATCAGGGCGGAGCAACTGTCATAACGTCAGACCTCATTATAGCCTCATTACCATATTTTTTCCATGGGTTGCCTTTACCGTACTGCGGAAGAAAGAAATCCGGACCGCTTTGAAATGCGTCCGGTCTGTCGGGTATACTAGGGTGAAGTGCGATTTACATAACGCAGCACAGTTAAGGTTACAAATGGAAATATCGACGATTTTTTGAAATAAAAAATACATACTTTGCTAGGATGGGCGAATCTTTCTAGGAATTCAATGATATAAAAAATGTAATGTGGTTTGAATCTACATGTTGGGAACATTTAGATTTTTTTATTTAGACTTGTCATGTAATGTCGACGTCACATGACTTTGGCAATTATACTTGCAGTTTGGAGGCCATCTATAAATTTTTATATTGCAAGGGCATAACCAAGCTAAAAATTTTAGTTTATTTTATAATCCTTTTCAACACTATATGTAGTTTGTAAAAAGTTCTGCGAATCTGTATTCCCCTTTTTAATTGGTAAAATTTAATTTAGTGGATGGCATGTTGAATATTTTGCTGTTCAACTACAATACATTAATATAGCTATAATTAATTTTTTTAAAAGATTTCAAGAGGTTCACAGCACTTTTCAAATATCTTAATGCTTCTTGCGTTAATTTGTAAAATTTTGACAAGATACATTGAGGCTATGCCCTTGCAATAAATCGATTTAAAAGGGGCCCCTTCCATTACTTTTTCAATGAATCTGCATACAAACACGACAGTAAACATTTATTCAAAGTGGGGGAAATATGAAGATTTTTCCCCCATGAAAAATCATATTCCCCAGGGCAACCCCCGGGGGGAATTTTTTTTTTTCATGGGTGAAGAAATCTTCATATTTCCCGAACATTCATGCAATAAATTGTTTATTATACCGAATCAAGCATTGCATCAAATTAATATGAATAAAAATGATGATCAAATATGAAAATTTTTAATAAATTTATTTAACACACTCAATTTTAACAACTGTTCAAGTAAAACTGAGAAACAGCATAAAACATGTACCATTTCCTACCTCCTAAAAAAATCCATTCTGCTTTGTATCACAGACAAGAAAAACTTAACAATTTTAATAACAACAAAAATTTGGCTAACTGAAAAATTTTACAATTTCAAACAACAAAAAAAATTAACTGCTTTGTATCACAGATAATAAAAAATTAACAAATGTAATAACAGACAAAATTTAGCAAATTAATTCCAAAAATATCATAATTTAAATATAATATCTAACTTCTTTGTTTAATATAACGTAAAAAATATGTAATTATAACTTTTTAAAACACAAAACAAGTATTATAAATGTTTTTAGACGGGAAAAAAAACTATATTCAGTCTTGTAACAATAGATAAAGCAATGAAATTCAACATGTTAAATCATCTCATCAAAAAGTTCATTACTTGTGATAATTTATGTTTATTTGGACTCGGCAATTTCCCGAGAAATTTGGTCTAAACCATCCAGGTCCACTACTAGACACATCCAGCTGATTTTGGGACACAGGCTTCCTTTGATCAATTTCTCGACATTCGACTGAAGATTATCAGAGGATCAAGTTCAAAGTCCTCTGCAAAAACACTGGCTAGATCACTAAGATTTTCCGTGACTGTTTCGGGGATTACGTTTTCCTGTGTTGTATGTTGGTGTCCGAGGGCTGCACTAAGGGTTTCTGATATTTCCCTCTTTTTTCCGTCACTTAAAAAGTGGGAGATGATTTGATGAGGTTAGATTATGGCCGGAAACTTTCATTATATGTCGCCCACTGATACCAGCCACATCTAATACTGTGATACTTGTCGCACGGACAGAATGGTTCCTATAAATTTTGGAAAGTTTTCCCACATTTGAGATATCGACATAAAACTGGCCAAGGAATTTTTCCCTACAGATGCGTTTCATCCATACATCCGCATCAGGGTCGAATGAATCTCGGGGGTTCTGCCATAGATCACTCTTATTGGGATTTAACTTGGATAAATACTTTTGAAATGAAAACACAGGGCAGTTCTTTTTCCTGGAAATATTAGAATAAAAATGCAATAATACATGTTATTCTGTAAAAAACCAGAGACCTCTAATTATACATAATTGTTTAAACAGCTAATTATTTTACCTGGTAACTCGTATATTGCCCATCTGTTACACTCCCTGCTCCATCTGCTCTGTGATTCTTATCCTGCTCATCAACGGACTGATACACATACTGTCTACCAACATCATCTCTGGCTATCTTGAATGTATCTTTAGTCATGGACCTCAAATTTTCTCTGCCTCTTCTGCATAGGTACAGAGTTATTTTAAAACCAAACTTTTCCCTGTAATCCATATGGAGTATTGGTATCAAATACTGGGGTGTCGACGCTGTATAATTTCTGGAGATCTTTCTCATATATTGCCGGGAGGGTGACGATCAATTCCCACAAGCCATTTTCTTTCCAAATCTGTAGAAACTGCTTTAAATATTTCATTACTTTCATTGAATTCTGAGTCTTTAACAATGTCGATGTTTTTTTTTCTCTTTCAAAAAACGTTTTAACCCATACCGAATGTTCTGTAAAGCACTTTTTTTAAAAGCTCTCCTGTCGTTTTTCTAGCTCCCACATAAAAGGACTTCGTGCTTTTTTAGGTCCTCTACGGATAAAACCTCAAAATCCGCTGTCGATCAGAGCATTCTGCCAAAAAATCACGGGAAAAATTTTACTGCCACTTTTGTAGCTTTTTTTTTTGTTGATAGCGTCCTTTTCATTCAATAATAATGCGTAATCCTCACTGCCAGGCTGGTGAAACCTTGCCATGTTTGTTATCGTCTGCGTCATTCGGAACTTTTCGGTTTTGTTCATTTAACCGGAAACGAAAGTGAAAAAAGAGATATCCGAAGAGGTGGAACACACGTTTTGCTGCAGGGAAAACACGACGGTCATGTGACCTTCTCAGCCAATCAGATTTTATTTTAGTAGTGTTTATTTAAATGAGGTATAATAATATCGCTTGTCTGATAAATGCACGTACAGTTTATGAATAAAATACTAAAATAAACATTGCATCCAAGTAAATGGCTTTTTATTTTACCCAAAATAATATTTTATTTGAGAACAAAAGACATTTCTCATTGTACAAAATGTGACTTGATCAGCCTCTGACTGTGTAAAAACTGTGTAAAAACTGCGTCATTTTTTGAGAAATGACGTCACAATGATAAGTGCATTGCGATCGATTCATTGTTTATATACTGTTGTGTGGGATTTATCAAACGACAAAACTGCATGTAATAGTAAGTTTGTATGTAATATACAGCTATCCAACTGTTTGAAATAGCAAATAATTTCATTTTGTAGTATTTTGAAGACCTTTTATTATGTGTGACGTCAATGTAAACATTTCCAAATAAGGCCCCGCCTCCTTACTGTAATTTTAACAGTTGAACGAATTTAATTATGCTTATTTATTACGACAATCAGTAAATCGTACATTTTTTCATTCTCTCAAAATGGCGTAACTTTACTTAGTAAGGAATAATGAAAGAAAAATCAAAAAATAGGGATATTTAAACATATGAATTGTGATCAATTATAAATTTTGAAATATTTAAGAACTTATTATCGGGAAAAAATAATTATAGTCTGTCCCACCAAGTTACTGTAAGCACTTTTCGCATAAAATCTCAAAATATATAAATACCTTGGCTTTCAACCCAGTTCCGATCGATAGATTTTTTTTCCAACCTTCCGCCGTTTATCCGAACCCTCGAGGTCAACCAGTGTATACACACGGCGGCAAATTCAAAGTCTACGGAGATTTAACATTGTCAAAATGGCCACCCACCACTTCGGAAGGGGATCATCCATTGTTCGTAATTTTCCGTACGTCGTCGTCAGTAAGGAAATGACGTCACACACGTTCGGGAGTGCTCTATGGTTATCGACGTCCGAAAAACCTATAACGCCCGAGACTTCCAAGTATATATTTATACTACAAGAAATATTACTTCTTCAACATGTTCAACAAACTTTCATACCCAGACTGAGACCCAAGGGACCAAAGATTCATAAAAGGGTTAGTCACTGCATAAAGGCAAATAGGTATGACTCAATTCATACATAACATTTCGATAGAATAATCGAGGCTAGGCTACTGCAAATTTAGCTCAAGTAAAATTAGTTTTATAATTTATAGCCAAAGTAACATTAGAGATCAATCAAAGTAATATCACTAGGATTAAGATTTTTTAAAAAATTTTAATTGCTGCCTTACCCTTTAAAGTTTCACCATAGCTTTCCTTATAAATCCAACTCCTTTACGTTTGTTAAAAAAAATAACACACGGGAAAA